CTGACCCGCTGGCACAGCCACTGCATCACACTGACCCGCTGGCACAGCCACTGCATCACACTGACCCGCTGGCACAGCCACTGCATCACACTGACACACTGACACGCTGGCACAGCCACTGCATCACACTGACACGCTGACACGCTGGCACAGCCACTGCATCACACTGACACACTGACACGCTGGCACAGCCACTGCATCACACTGACACGCTGGCACAGCCACTGCATCACACTGGCACACTGACACAGCCACTGCATCACACTGGTACACTGACACAGCCACTGCATCACACTGACAGAGCCACTGCATCACACTGACACGCTGACACAGCCGGTGCATCACACTGACACACTGGCACAGTCAGTGCATCACACTGACACACTGGCACAGTCGGTGCATCACACTGACACACTGGCACAGTCGGTGCATTATGCTCGCATGGCCATTCCGTCACACATGCTCACTGACATACCTGTTCCCACACACACTCTTGCACTGCCTCACAGCCTTATGTGTCAGCAGCACATTCCATTAATTCTGCTCCGACCTCCCTCTCGGTGGCCACTGGGGCCCAGGGACCAGCCAGATGTGGAGAAGACAGCACAGGAAGCTGGTGTTTATATTTCAGATGGCTTATTTACACAAACAGGTCACACTCCACAGACAAACAAACTGCTAGGGCTCCCTGCTGCACCAACAGGAGAGGGCTCACTCGCCAGAGCCACCTCTCCTGTTATTATTAGACTTTCTCAACATGCATAATTCATCAAACTGCAAACCAGTTTTCCAAACTTTTTTTTTCTACTTAATCCCAGACATCCTTTATCTAGGTCGGAATGATAAATAGGGGCTCCGGTGCTTAACAGCAGTAGCCAGAGTTCCTTAAGCGTTTTTAATAATTATTCAGCTTTGAAGGGAAGATCAATAAGTATAACACTTTGTGAAGTTGTAATAAAATGATAGGGCTCAGAAATCATCTGACTTCATGTAGAACTAGAGAGCTGTATTTATTTTTAAAAATGACCTGCGAGTGACGTGTACTCCTGTAATGATAAAATAACATTATATGACGTTTTAAAGTTACAAAACTCTTCTGTGTAGCTAATTTAGCAATCCTTATTGGCACTCTAGATAAATATTTCTGACTTTGTAGAATTAGGAGATTGAAAGAAGTGAGGTGTAGTCCGAGATATGGCGACTGGTGTTCAGAGTGGCGTCCTGTCTGTCCTTGGAGGGGCACACTCAGATGTCACTGGTAGTGTCGCTCCGTGGCACCTGTACTGAGTACGGAGGGCAGCCTTTGTAGGTTTTACTTTTAAATGTGGGGAAGTGGGCGTTAGTTCTGATTTAGCACATGACCATCTTGATCTAGTAATTTCAGGAATTCAGGAAGTCGCTGTGCTGACTTTGACAAGTGGAATCCCTAGAGTGTGGGAGCTGTCCTCAGGCAGCTGTCCAGAACCTGGTGCTGAAGTGAAGTGTTTCTCTCTCTGTTTGCATTCACAGCATGAGAAAGCTTCCCAAAGAGAGACCAGCTCCAGAGGACCTCATGGTGAGCTAGAGGTTCCTCCATGTCTCCC